CATCTTGTCTTGACTTGTCTGACTTTTGTTCCTTTTTCGACTTCCAAAAATTTGTCTTCACTTTATTTGCATATCAATCAACAGGTTGTGTATATAAACCTGCTTTCCCCTCTGGTCTCTCAGTCACTGACGAAAGCTAATTACGAAGTAGCTGAAACGCCTGACGTTTTCAAAATCATATCCAGTTGCTTGAGTAGCTGTTTTTTGGCATATCGTATTACCTGGATGTCTAACCTTCATCGATGCAACTATATCAACTTCTATACCAGAATTTCTCGCCATGAATTCATCTAGCAAATTCAGATACTCGTTGTACTTTTGACAATCCATACATTGTGAATATAGGACAGTTATTTTAAAGAATGTCTAAACGTAAGAAATTCTTTTAATGATTGTATAAGAGCCTTTTCATCCCATATCACCTAGTATTGTACTACGTAGACTGATTTGTTAGATTTGTTCTCTCATTTCTGCCATACTTTGTACCTTGTACATTGTTGCGTAATAAAAGTCATCTATGATATTGTCTTACCAAAGGAAGTACTCTGAGAGAAACAACTATAGAGAGAGACAGACAAACAGGCAGTGAGAGGAAGAGGCAGAGAATAAAGTATACTTCTTACAACAACAGGTATCCGACTTGTTGGCGGAGGTTCCACCTCATCTCAAGGCAGAGTTGAGGTGTTCCATGCCGGCCAATGGGGGACGGTCTGTGACAACAGTTGGGGGCTGAGTGACGCCCATGTGGTCTGTCGTCAGCTGGGATATCCCGGTGCAAAAGCAGCTCTTGGATCAGCAGCTTTCGGGCGGGGGTCTGGGCCGATCTGGCTGGACGAAGTAACCTGCGATGGTTCCGAGGCAACCATTTCTGACTGTGGACACAACGGTTGGGGGATACATGACTGTGGACACGGAGAAGATGCCGGAGTTGATTGTGAACAAGGTATGCCCGAAAACAATTCAAACTCTACTACTTGAGATTACGGATAATGTTATATTATGTTATGTTATGTTATGTTATGTTATGTTATGTTATGTTATGTTATGTTATGTTATGTTATGTTATGTTATATTTGGCCAAAAACGTACTTACTGAGCAACTGATATAACCAATCCAAACAAATGCAGATTTGTGTGACAAATTGCCCCTTAAAAATGCCTAATATTCAGAAAAATTTTAAGGCTGAATTTTGAATAGTTCTGATAACCCCTAAGCATACCCTTTAAAGTTCAATGTTAGAGTTTTACATTTCGTCTAGTTAAAGAAATGTAATGCGCCTCGGAGTGACGTTTCAAGCAGACCTGTGGGGAACCCATGTCATGGACGTAACAAAGAAAGGAAATCAAAGACTGCATCTTCTCTGCCGACTGTTACAGTTCAACCTACATGTGGAGGACTTGCTCACCATATACACATGTTTCATCCGACCCGTACTTGAATACGCCGCGTCAGTCTGGCATCCCGGACTGACGATTACACAGCACAACAAGATAGAGAGGATTCAACGACGGTCGACAAGGATCATCCTGGGATATAACCTCTCATACGACCAGTCTTGTAAAGCACTGAGGTGATTCTAGCACGCACAAAACGCTACTCCAAGAGCCCTTTCACTGGGCGAAAAGGCCTCGGATGCAGACATATGCGAACAGGGATATTTACGCGTTTTTAGCAGATACAAGCGGATGCAAATGAATGCGGGTGGGATCCGTAAAATATCCTAAATTTGCATTCTAAGAGATCCGGAACGTTTGGATCCCTAAATATCCCCAAATGGGATTTTCCACGGATACCAATTTGTTTCTTAAGGGATTTTTTTATACCTGGATTGTCCGGATCCCGAAGGATTCCAAAGCGGGATTTTTCGCGGATTCCAATTTGTTTCTTTATGGATTTTTTGTACACCTGGAGTAATAACCTGGACTGTCCGGATCCCAAAGAATGCAAAAAGCGGGATTTTCTACGGATGCGAATTTTTTTAATAGGTATTTTTCCGGATATGCGATAGATCCCCACGTGCAGATGTCGGTATTTTACACGGATTCGTACAGATACAACTTGTGATTTTTCCGTATCCCTATCGGATTTCCATACACATTTCTCTGCATTTGCCTCGGATGCAAACAGAGCCGGCGTTTGGATTTTTATATATCCATACCTCGGATCTTCCCGAATCCTTACGGCATTCTCCCCTGGATACGCCCGTGTTTGACATGTATATGTCACATGGGGAGATTGGAATCCAGGGGGATCAGGAATCCTCCTATGGGAGATTGGAATCCCTATCTCCCCTAGGAGAATCTGGAATCCTCCTGGGGGAGATAGGGATTCCAATCTTCCCTAGGGGAGACTTGAATTTTTCTTCTACAAAATTGGGATCTGAGTATCTGCATTCCAATCTCCCCTAGGAGGATTCCAGATTCCCCTAGGGGAGATAGGAATTCCAATTTGTCCCAGGACAAGTGGGAATTCTGACAGGACAATCTCCAATTTTAATTTTAAGAGTTATTTCACACCTAAACTTTCAATCAATTTCAGCACAGGTAAGTGAATATGTAAATCAGACTCACTGACAGATACTTGCGTCAGGCCATTGTGAGATAGTGATTCGAAACCAGTTTTTTCCAGTTTGTTAGTGACTTGGTATATAAGGGATTGTTTCCCCCTACCAAGCCAGTCAAAGTGACAGCATACTGATCAAGTGATGGCGGAGGATGTACAGCAGCAGAAAGTAATCTACAGATTGGTTTAGGTGTGAACTTAATGATTCAATCTATGAGTTCTAGTATATCTACGATCTGAATATCAGCATTCCAATCTTTCCTAGGACGATTCCAGATCCCCCTAGGAGAATTCCAATCTCCCCTATAGCTAGGAGGATTCCGGATCCCCCTGGATTCCAATCTCCCCTGTGACATATATGTGCAGATTCAACAAGCAGGTCAAATTAGATAAATTAAGGAAAAAACGAATGAATGGATTTAGCCTGAAAGCCTTTATTGAAACTCCGCACATACTGTGTAAAGCAACAAAAAAGAACTACTAGTAACTATACAAAAACATGTAACATGTAAAATAAATATTTGCAATACTGAACGAACAGGTAGAACTAGAACTATCACGTCTTGCTTCGCCAGGATGATCGTCTCACAATCCATGTGTTGTTACAACCATCATCTGTCTCCTAGTCCCACATCAGGATGGTCTTTGTGGAAGTCTGCGCTGAAGACAGTCTTACCCCACGTTCAATCAGTCGCTTCTGACCTACGAAAAAAAAAACAACAACAGAAAACTGAAGACCGTGTAAAAATGGCATTTCGGCCAGAATGTGCTAATTAAACCGTTTGTAACAGACCGTTTGCTGCTTCCCAAGTGTTGTCGAGGTCTAGGGCGGATTACCGTCAATCCTAGGTCTTAAACACTAAGCGTACTCTCACTACGCTAGCTCAACTAAAGATCGACACAGGCCACGGGATTCGATCGCACCACCGGAAGTTTATTCATTCAATTCCGAACCTAATACAAAGTCAGGCAAGTCAGACACAAGCTAGGGGAAAGCAGGTTCTAACGGGTCTATAAGTGCATGTACATTTAACAGTAGCGGCAAGGTAAAATCAACTATATGTGGAAAAGGACTAACTGAACATCACGGAAGAGCTACAAGAGTACATGAACACTACACATTAAAACCCTGACTAAAGCACTACACAAATGTTACCTAGAAAGTTATTACATACCTAGTCAGAAGTGACGGGAGGCTTCGATCTACAAAGGTAGTAGACCCGCTAATCTAGACTCATGGAACCATTATAAGCTACTAACTCCTGGCCGGAGTAGACGGACGCTTCGGACCCGGGTGACCGGACGACGCCTTGGTCTCTCTCTCTCTACTCGACTCCCCGAAGATCGGAGAGACCAAGCTATACATCCATTCCAAGGTCTTTACATGATTGACAGTAGGTGATCAGTTGAAAACTTACTCCTGATTGGTTGGAAGTAAATGCAAATCACCCAAACCGGTTCTAGCCGGCGGGCTACCTCGCAGAAAGTGGTTCTCAAACCTACAGAGGATACTGGAAGTCAAGAGTTAACTGGGTCAGCATCCGGGGTCTCCAGGCCCTGAGATTGTACTGTTACAACTATCCCCCCCTCAACGCAAAGAGGCGTCCTCGCCTCGAAAAGTACGACCGGTTTACAGAAAACTACCACTATGTATATACTCATAACAGGAGGTATGTCCAGTATCAGGGTGAAGTGGCAGAAGTTAGGGTGGCAGAAGTTGTCTGAAGTTGTCCGAAGTTACGACCATTTCCGAGTGGTTTTGGGGGTTATCGGGAGTAAAGTCTGACGTCACTGTAACTTCCGACATTTGTGGGGTAGGGTGGCAGGTGTCTGAAGTTGTCCGAAGTTGTCTGAAGTTACGTGACGTCACTGTAACTTCCGACATATGTGGGGTAGGGTGGCAGGTGTCCTAAGTTGTCTGAAGTTACGTGACCTTACTGTAACTTCCGACACTTGTGGGGTAGGGTGGCAGGTGTCCGAAGTTGTCCGAAGTTGTCTGAAGTGACGTGACGTCACTGTAACTTCCGACACTTGTGGGGTAGGGTGGCAGGTGTCTGAAGTTGTCTGAAGTTACGCGACGTCACTGTAACTCCCGACACTTGTGGGGTAGGGTGGCAGGTGTCTGAAGTTGTCCGAAGTTGTCTGAAGTTACGTGACCTCACTGTAACTTCCGACACTTGTGGGGTAGGGTGGCAGGTGTCTGAAGTTGTCCGAAGTTGTCTGAAGTTACGTGACGTCACTGTAACTTCCGACACTCCAGCCGCCAAAGTTGTCTGAAGTTGAAGATGGAAAGATTGAAAGCAAAAAAGTTCCAGTTTTGACATTTAAATGCAACATTGAAAAATGTTTATTAACGTATTGTAGGTTGTAGGTTTTGCTGGAGTCATGTTAGACGAACTAATATTTTTTATATTATTTTATATTTTCTCGGAATCCGTGATCTGGGTGTCGTCAGGCGTTTATTGTTTATCAAAAGTTTGATTCCTGGTAAGGCACCTAACGCGTCTGCAATCATCACGTGGGGACGATCACTACCAAGACCATAATTATGATGAAAAACTGACGTAACTTTATCATTAACCTGAAGATTTGTTGGGTTCAGTTTACCCGACGACGTCTTCGCACGTTGTCCTTGATGATCCATAGACTGGAGACTATCCTGGTTAGTTTACGTCCGCTCCGATAGTAGCGACTATGATCAAACCGCCAGGTAAATGTTTTGAACTACAAGTGACACCGTTTAGAACACACTCCACGGTTCGAATTACAAGTGACACACTTAAAGAATCACATTCGAATTACCGGCCAGTTCGAATTACAACGTAAATGACGCCAGATGTTGACATCTCAAACGTGTCTTTCGCGCGTAGAAGTCATGCTACAAGTTAATGGATATATTTTCAAGTAGATATTCGTGATCTGGGACTAGTGCGGCGCTTGCTTACTCTTTACGAGAAGATTGATTTCAACAGGAGCGCCAACCACATCCACCATAGTATCATGGTTTTCATGGTGTGCCCAAAGTGAACTGTCGTGAAAACACGACACTCCTAGCTTCGTACACTCACACGGCCCTACGTACCAAGTTATTTCGCTTACCGTGTGACGTAACTTGATTTTAACTTAATACCATTCACCTGATACTCCGGGAGAGTGTCTGAAGTTAGGTTGACGTCATAACTTTAGACAACTTCGGACAACTTCCGACACCTACCGGGTGAGTGTCTGAAGTTAGGTTGACGTCATAACATAACTTCAGACAACTTCAGACAGCTTCGGACACCTCCCGGGAGACTGTCTAAAGTTAGGATGACGTCATAACATAACTTCGGACAACTTCGGATGCGTCCGATAGCAGGCCGACAGGAAAGTCAAAATACGGAAAAGCACGAAGTTACATATGACGTAAGCTGAT